ACAAATTCCCATTTGACCGTCAAAACTGCAGTCTGCCGATTATTTCGCTTGGATTGGATTCGTAAGAAAATTTAGCGCATTTGTTTCAAATTTATATTCCGGGGGTAATCAAAACAGCGTCAAAAAAAAGCAAATTTCTCAAAATCCAAAAAACCAAGCCGGTTCAAGTTTTATATCAAAAAAATTCCTTGCGTTCTTGGTTACATGATGGGTGAAAGAGTTTTTTAAAAAAGCTAATATTTCATAGATAAAAAGAGCACTCAAAATTTGTGTCGAGTGATACTCAGTTGGTTAACTGAATATCTTTAGTGATACCCAGTTGGTTAACTGAATATCTTTAGTGATACCCAGTTGGTTAACTGAATATCTTTAGTGATACTCAGTTGGTTAACTGAATATCTTTAGTGATACCCAGTTGGTTAACTGAATATCTTTAGTGATACTCAGTTGGTTAACTGAATATCTTTAGAGACCCATTTTGAGTGCTCTTTTTATCTATGAAATATTAGCTTTTTTTTAAAAAAACTGTTTCACCCATCATGTAGCCAAGAACGCAAGGAATTTTTTGATATAAAACTTGAACCGGCTTGGTTTTTTGGATTTTGAGAAATTTGACGGCACTGTTTTGAACGTTTACTATTATGGTGCTTTTTTTTGACTACCCCCCTATATTCCTTCTTTGCACGTTTTGCATTTCTAATTTCTATAAAAACAAAAACTTTTGCGAATAATTTTATAGGAAACTAAAAGGCAATAAAAAACAAAGACACTTACCGTAAATACTGTAATAATACCCCGCCCCCCCGCGTACAGTCGCGTAGTCGCAAAAGTTTTTTAGTTTTTAGTATTTCATTTTGTTTCAAAGCGCCAGTACTTTCAAAAAATGCGTTTTTGGTATCAAAAAATAGCTGAAATTCAGGGCTATTTTTTGATATTTAAACGCGCATTGTAGCATAAACCAGTGTCGAGAAAAACTCGTTCAAAGCTAGACTACGCAACACTCCGCACCGTCATTATGGGGGTGGGGTACTATTACAGTATTTACGGTAGTTATTTCTTATCCCCGAAATGAGATGCAATGACTATTATGCTAATTTTTTCGGTTTTGGCCTATCAAAATCACTAATAACGTACTTATGACAACACTGGTTTTAAGAAAATATGCTAATTTGTGCCTTTTTTTATGCAAATTTGAGACTTTTATGTGTAAACTTGTTTTCAGTTCACCAAAGTCTATACCAAAAATTACAAGGAAAAGTATTAAACTTTAGAAGCTTTTAGAAATTTTTAGAAAACTTTTATCAATGGGAGTGAGTGTTGAGAGGGGCGGCAAAACGCTTGTGGTTGGTTTTATCAAATAAAATTTTTAAAGTTTTAATAAATCCAACTAAATATGTTTAGGGAAATGGTGCCTGGGATATTCTTGAAGCTGTCCCAATGGAATATCAGAGTGTCAGTGAATCGGGAAAGCTTGATGTTGTGAGTTTAGATAGATACTTTAGATAGATACTTTAGATAGATACTTCAGGAAATGAAATAAAGTGCGCAAGATTTACGATTAATACACATGAATTCAATACACATAAACAAAAAAAGGATCGAAAGAAAAGCAAGATGATATAATGGATGGAATATAGCACAGATAACGTCAAGAATCCAGTAGAGATTCAAGATCAAGAACTTCAAGATCAGCTTCAAGATCAAGAGCTTCAAGATCAGCCTCAAGATCAGCTTCAAGATCAGGTTCAAGATCAGCTTCAAGATCAGGTTCAAGATCAGCTTCAAGATCAGCTTCAAGATCAGGTTCAAGATCAGCTTCAAGATCAGCTTCAAGATCAGCTTCAAGATCAGCTTCAAGATCAGCTTCAAGATCAAGAGCTTCAAGATCAGCTTCAAGATCAAGAGCTTCAAGATCAGCCTCAAGATCAGCTTCAAGATCAGGTTCAAGATCAGCTTCAAGATCAAGAGCTTCAATACCAGCCTCAAGATCAGCTTCAAGATCAGCTTCAAGATCAGGTTCAAGATCAGCTTCAAGATCAGCTTCAAGATCAAGAGCTTCAATACCAGCCTCAAGATCAGCTTCAAGATCAAGAGCTTCAAGATCTACAGATAATTTAAAGATACTAAATGATGTCTAGCGTAACCGCTTGCTCAAGCTCTAACCGTATGCAGCTTTATTATGATTTATTAGGCCTTCTAGAAAGTCTTTTCGTTTTATTTTAATGTTATTTTGTAGAAAAAGAATTGGCTTTTCTAATGAAACAAATTTCTAATGAAATTTCTAATGAAAACGTAGTTCAAAACGATGAATTTGTTAGTTTTAAACAGAAGTACGAAAAGAAACGAAAAGAATAGTCTAATAGATCGCTTTCTGAATAGTCTAATAGATAGCACTTATCTAGTCGTTGAACTTTCTAGAATGAATAAGATTAGAACGTTTTACCCAAACGTACTCTAGGTTGGCTATTTTGTCATCGTTCAACGCGTGCCCAATTTCTACGTCTACGTGATCGCTCTACCGTGTTTCATTCTGGTGATGCTTTCAATTGTGGGAATGTTTTGGTCACCGAATTTTCAAAAGGAAAAGCTCACAAAGGTAAAGGTTTAAAAAATTCAATCAAATCGGATTTCAGTTGAGTATTGGTTTGACGAGCCTCGTGTCGATCACTGTTTTGTTGGATATGTTGTCAAACGCGATTCCGAAGACTCAAGTTTTTCCATTGTTAGGTAAGTGAAAGCTTTTATGAGTCAAAGGGGGTTTTCGGGTCATCAAAGTTGTCTAGCCCAAGTCACCTTGAGCCAATTTGGCACCAACTTTGAGCCCAATGGCAGCTTTTGTTCCAGTTGGTGATTTTCTGGGTATATTACGCCAGGGTCAGGTTTTGTCTCATACATGCGTTAGGACAAGGACTTTAGGTACTTTAGGACCAGACACAGATTATATTTTAGACTAGCTTGAAGCCTCAAGTCATGCCAGGACTAATCCGGGATCGGTTATCTGCTACTGTCCACGGGATTCGAATCCTTGAGCCAATTTGGCACCAACTTTGAGCCCAATGGCAGCTTTTATTCCAGTTGTTAATTTTCTGGGTTCCTCTTTTAGGTAATTCAAGATATCCAAGAGTTCATTTTTTAAACAAAAATTTTTTGAGTTAGGATTTGAACTGGATTAAGCCTGGTGAGCCTGGTTTAACTAAATTTTAGAATAGCTAGAAGTCGAGTCAGTCTAATAGTAAGTTACCTGGGTTGGGTTAAATCTAGACTTTGATTAGAGTTTAAACTGCCGAACCAGATCAATTGTAGACTGTTAGAAAAGTCTAGATGCATCTAGATTTACTTTTATTTAGATTTTTTATTTATTATAACTTTATCGTTCTAGGTATTTACGTTGTGAGCTGTGTTGGAATGACTTCTCTCGCTTGTGTGCTCGTTGTTTTGCATTCAATGCCGAATCCCGAGAAAGCGACAAAGAAAGAAATTGAGCGACTTAAAGAAAGCGATCAGCTGAAAACAAGGTATTGAAATTTTTGGGCTAAAAAAGAAGGATTTCCAGAAGTCAACGGTTAAACTCGTGGATACGAAAGAAAATCTATGATCGAAATTTCTTTTTTCTTCTTTGTTTTCAATTGTTGAATGTCATCGGTTTTATTGTTTTCTTATCGTTTTGGGATGGGTGAATGCTTTTGGAAGTTGTTGATAAAGTGTTAAAAGAGAAATCGTTGTTGTTGTTGTTGTTGATAGAGTGTTAAAAGAGAAATCGTTGTTGTTGTTGTTGTTGATACAGTGTTAAAAGAAAAATCGCTTACAGACGATCACAATATTACAAATTACAACTTCATATAGCAAGCATTGATGTTTAAAATCCAATTCTTTTTTTGAATCAGCTCAGTTCTAGAGGATCGACTCTCACGACTGGATCCTCTAGAAGCCAAATCCAAGCTTTGGCAGATCCAGGAACTTTTATTGGCTAAACAAGGTCAGAAAAAAGTCAGAACCTCATGTTCGTGATACTCCCACCTTGGCTAGATTTAAAGCCGCAATTTCGGCAATTGATTTGACTGCTCTGTGATTCTTTCTTGAGGTATCTATTTATCTTTTGGGTGTGTTTTGAGTGGTGTCCCGGGTAATTATTGTGATTTTGCTTTGTCGCTATTCAACTAAATAATATATTCTCTGGTTCAGTTAGCAATTGGGTTTGCTTCTAGCTTTTGGTCCGGTCTGATCATGAGAATTTAGGTTTAAACCAGCAATTTCAATCAGCATTCAACTGAATAAAGCATTTATATATATTTTGTTATGTTTTTGATAAAATATTGTTTAAAATTTGATTAATAAACAAAAAGAGCGTAATTTCGAGAGCTTTAAGATAAACTTTCCGTTAAGATACTAAAGTCTCAAACAAAACTAGAATTTTGCTTGACTTTAACTAGATTTTCTTAAGAATTTTACTGATAACATTGTAAAATTCTTTGTGAACTGACTTTTCTAGGTAAAAATCGGTTTTAAAAGTTTCAAAATCGGACGTAATATATAAAAAAGCTGTCTGTTCGTCTGTACTCACTTTTTCTCAGCCTTTTTTTCTCTTTAGGCCAAAAAAACTGAAATTCTTTTAAAAGTCTTAAAATATAAGATAGTTGTGATATTTAAACTAGAAAATTCAAAAAATCAAAACCGTAGCACTACGAGGGGTCGAACCCGGGTGATTTGGGTCGTAGACAAGCGCGCTCTCGAATGCTCCACGACCACAAAGCACAGACACACAAAGCACCAGAAAAACTCGCAGTTAAACGGGTTTTTTGAATGGGAAATTTATATTTATGTCTTTTTGATAAATATTTATCTCTTCATTTCCAAAATGAAAGAAAGATAATGAAACCGGCGAGATTGACCCCTTGAAAGCAAAGCTGAAAGAAAAGATGTCGACTCCGGCAGTCCTCTTTGAAAAATTTGATCAACGGATCTCTGAATCTTAATTTTTTTAATTTTTCCATAAAAACCTACCTCTTCGTCATCATTTCCCTCGTTTCCTCATCTTTTCTCATTTCGAAATCGCTTTTCTTCTTTGGGTTTTTCAAGGCGAAAACGACGATGACAACGCAAGCGGCTGAGATGATACCGACACAGACAACAACGTAAATCCCTAGATTTCAATGATAAATGTGCTCTTCAAAGTTAGACTTTATGCTTAAAAATTGGCGCAGAATCTAGTGGATTTAGATCTCTTCATTTCAGCTCTCACAGCGATGCTTTTAGTGCAAGAAAGATGTACGCCAGAGAAGAGATTTTTTGGGCTTAATTTAAAGGCAAAGCAAAATATTAGTAGAGTGTAGAGTTATTGTAGTACAAAGTACATTATTGGTAGAGGCTACAAGTCATTGTAGAGTACATTGTTAATACTCGTAACCGATTTGCTTTCTTTTTCAAATAAATTTTATTAAATATTAAATAAAGTCAGGGATAGATTTATAAAGGAGATTCTAAAATTCAGCTTTTTGCAAAAAAACCCGTCCAATTAACTCTCAAAACTAATTAGATTTTTGGAAAGTCGATAAATTTTAGATATAATAATTCGATTCAGATCGATTGCAGATTTCAGATTGATTGGTTTAGCAGTTCTTTTCTAAAATAGCATAGCCGACAGACAGAGAAATAATCTCTCTAGAGATTGTTATTCAATAAAGATTCGCTAAAAACCCTCAAAAAAATGATTAGTTGGCGACGGCGACGCCGAGTTGGCGGCTATTTTACAGCTTTCTAAGTTTTCACAGAAGCTCAACACTCAAATCCCCCACAAGATCTCATCGTCAGCTACATTTTCCGACCCCACATCGATAGGTTCTGATAAGCGGTTCTCGAGATTTCGAGGAATTTAGACAACGCTCTTGGTGCACTACTATTAGAGAAAATAATATAAAAAAGCCTCTAGCTTTTTTTCTAAATACGTTTTTCTCAACCCCTAGATTTTTCCCAACTACATTTTGATACCGAAAAATAATAGATTTCAAGACCTATCATTTGACATCCAAGCACGGTAAAGCGATCACGTAGCTGTAGAAATTATGTTCAAAGTTAGACTACGCGACTGTACGTCTATCTTTATGGCTTTATGGCTTTATTTGAGTATTTACTCACCCAACAAAGGAAAAACAGCCGTCTTCGGAATAGCTGTAGCTAGCATGTCCAACAAAACAGTCATTGACACCATACTCGTCAAACCGATACTCAACTGGATCTTTTGATTATATGAATTCTTTTGTTTATGTGAAATTTCACTCTTGACAATATTTATAATATTCTGTAAACCTTTGTGAGTTGTTCTTTTCGAACATTCGGCGACCAAAACATTCCGATGATTGAAAGCAATGTCAAGAGGAAACACGGTAAAGCGATCACGTAGATGTAGAAATTGGGAACACGTTTGAGGTGAATTTCGAAATAAAACTGAAATGAGATTGCCCAAAGCTATCTCCATTTGATTACTGTAAGAATGGCTTATCCAAAACCCACCACTTGCATAGTATCGAAACCGGTGTCCAACGTCGTTACATTAGTCACTTCCCATTCACCATTTCCCTAAGTTTCTTTAACGACAGACTTCAAAAATCTTAGAATCCTTGGTTAAAGCTTTTGACAGATCTCCAGCCTTCTCACTTGAATACCATCTTCGCACTCTGTTCGCGCTTGAATACTGTGTTTCACAGGCATACTGTGAATACTATACAGGAAGAATTACCAAGAATTACCGCAACAACGTCGTATTATGTTATGAGGCCCATTTCACTTTTTACATTTGAAGTGGCTCAACGCCAAATTGTCGACCAGATTGATGCCCGTTTGAGGATTGGCGACGCAATAAGGAAAATCGCAAAAAATTTGGGTCGATCCGACTCTGCCGTGCGAAATTATATAAAGTCCGAGTTCGTTTCTGCACCAAGAAGAAACCAGGACCAAAGCCAAAGCTTACACCGCGAACTAGACGCCATCTTGTGAACAACATCCACAGAAAAACGATCAATGAAGTGAAAACGGAACGGAAAATCGACGCTTCGAAGTCGACAATTTGGCGAGTCATCAAGGAAAATCCACATGTCGATCGACAATTATTGAACATGCAATCGGTCGTGAAGCTTTTGCACAAGAAAGCCCGATTGGCGTTCGCCAAGGCCCATATGAATCAGGATTGGTCTATGGTTAGAAAGCCGCTTATGTTTTATTATTTTTTTTTGCGTTTAGGTGATCTTTTCCGATGAGAAGAAATGGAATTAGGATGGTCCCAATGGCATTGACTACTATTGGAGGGATCTTCGACGTGATCCGATGGTGTTTGGAACTCGAAACTTTGGCGGTGGTTCCGTGATGGTTTGGGCCGCCTTTTGTGCTGATGGAACGGAAGATGGTTGAAGATGGTTTCGAATCGGATGACTAGATAGATGTCTTGAACAATTTGCTTATTGCCGTTTTTGCTCCTAAATCCAACCGTTCCCGATTTGTTTCAATACGACAACGCGTCAATTCATCGAGCCGGAGACAGCCGAGACTGGCTGAACAACAACAACATTGAAACTTTGGACTGACCCGCTCGATCTCCTGACGTCAATCCGATAGGGAATTTATGCCGAATACTTGTTCAAGCCGCCTACAAAAATCATCGTCAGTTTCAAGAGGTATATTTGTACCTAAAACAGCGATCCGTTTGGCCTGAAGCTATCTCGACGTCTTTGCTTTTCAAAACCTCATCAATTCAATGCCAGACCGCATTTTTCAAGTAATTAATCGTTCTGGTGCGTGTACAGATTATTAGTTTCGATTTTTTACCTTTGATTGTTAATTTGTGTCGATAAATAAAAATATTTTCATAGTGCGCTTAAGAATTTGAAACGGTTGATTTAGCAAAAAGTTTCTATTTTGAAAATTTTTACTTTTTAGAGTATGCTCATTTTTCGTGTTTTTAGTTTTTAAGACATGCACTTTCTAATAGAAAAAGATTAATAGTTGTAGCGGTGTTCGAAATGCAAAATTCGCTATTTTAGAGGGTGCGTTTAAGAATTTGAAACGCACTGTAGTATGCCTGTGAAGCTTTATTCTATGATATTCTATGATATTCTATAATATTCTATGATATTCTATGATACTTGAGTTTAGCTCATGTTTATTATGTCCTAAATTTTCTCTCTGGCTTCTTCGTGCAGCGTTCTCACCATTTCCCTGAGTTTCTTTAACGACAGACTTCAAAAAGCTTAGAATCCTTGGTTAAAGCTTTTGACAGATAACCAGCGTTGTCACTTGAATACTATTTTCGCACTGTGTTGAATACTGTTTCACAGGTATACTGTGAGACTATAGTATGCCTGTCAAACCTTATTCTATGATATTCTATGATATTCTAAGATATTCTATGATATTCTATGATACTTGAGTTTAGCTCATGTTTATTATGTCCTAAATTTTCTCTCTGGCTTCTTCGTGCAGCTTTTTTCCTTGCCTAAGCTCTGTGCAAATGAATTCTTTCAACTTACCGGTGACACCATGATCGCTTTGTCCCCCACCACACCCGTTGTCACCACATCATCTCTATTTTATCTTCTTTCCATTCAACTCCAAATCACTCACCCTCCATATACAAATGACATGATGGGAACATTGCATGTCTGAGTATCGAATGGGAAAACATTTACCTAGATTTGAAATTACATTATTGTAGCTAAAACTCGGGCATTTACCGTAATGACACACGAGCTCTCCACATAGAAAACAGTCGGCATGGTCACTGTTCCATTATTTGATATTGAAACAGCACGCACAGAGTCTGGATGCTCGATATCCAATGTTTTTCTAGAGTTAGGTAGATTTTTTTAGGAATTTGATTTCTATTTGTGCTGAAGGAGGGATAGACTCAACTCACAAGGGAATGACTAGATCTAGTGGTGGGATCTCAATCTGAAAATCAAGACAAAACGCCTATCGAATACGCTGTACACGATGGTGAAATCCGTTTTTGCGAATGAGCAATATTTTTTTTGCAAAAAGAATTTAAATTTTGGGCTATTTTAGGGCACGATTTCAGTAATAAAGTCCTTAAAGACGACATAGCAACAGTGTCACCGTGGCTGAGTGGGTAGAAATCGATCAATCGATTAAAACGTCAATTTGTTGTAACTCTGGTTCGATCCCCGACCGCGCAAAACTTTTTTTTACCTCTTCTTTCTTTTTGTCAATAATGTTTTCTTGATGTTTTGGTTTTATTTTTAGGTTCAAATTGGTGTCAGCCGAAATCCTTCTTGAGTTACCTTTCCAAGAATTCCTGAAATGTTGTACCGGTACTTAGTACCCTTCCATCGATTGCACGGTCGCATCCGTTTCCTTTCTTTTTGCGTTCTTATTTTGCAATTATTCGCGTCGCATTTTTCGTCTTTTTTTCTCTCTTCCCGAAATTATTTTTTGAAGAGAGAGCTTCTGGCCCTTTTGGGGTCGGGGTTTTTGCCTTCGTTCTTGGGGGACTTTGATGTTTCTATTCATGCGCATGCTGTTTTTGTAATGGGTATCGTTCTGGCTTTATGGAACCATGTTGGAACCATATTGGAAATATATTGGAACCGTATTGGAACCGTAGTGGATCCAAAAAAAACCGTATTGGAACCGTATTGGATCAAAGAAGAACCATATTGGAACCGTTTTGGATAAAAAAAGAACCAGATTGGAACCGTATTGGAACCATATTGGAATCATATTGGAAATATATTAGAACTATATTGGAACCATATTGGAACCAGTTCTGGCATTTTTGGTTTTGTCCTAATAAACAGTAAAATTATAAATTCAGTTTAGTTTATGCTACCCTTCAGGTTTTAAATCCTGTTTAGATAGCTGGTTTAAAACTGTAGAAAGAACTTACTAACATTTGGGCCGCCTTCGACAAAGTATCAATCCGTTCTGTACTCTTATCACGAGTATTAACCGTATGTTGGATGCGGCGTGTTCTTGTTATGTTGTAAGCGTTTTGGGGAAACCCTTTTAACCTCTTTGTGCTACTCGGCTATTCTGAAGCAAAGTCATCCCCGATGATAAGGTTAAAGCGGGTCGCACCCCAAACTGTACATCGTACTCTGTTTGCCTTTCTTAAAACCCAAAGCGCAGCACACATTCCCTTTTCCCTTACGTATTCCCCAGCATGTTATCGGGTAGCCACAATTGAGCGACATTCACGTAAATGACATCGATTCCATCAAAATCCACCGGATCCCAAGCCAATCTCAGATCTTGCCAAGTCTAAGATCTAAGTTCATAAGCCAAAAAGAAGAAATTCCCTTACCTCAATAAACCCCAAACAAAAACCGAGTTGTTGACTCTCAGCATCCTAAATAATTGTTTTTTTTTGAGAATTCTTTAATCCAAACCAAAGTGAACATCTTGAAGTACGAGAGTTGAAAATTGACAGTAAAAGGAGAAGAATCACTGGCTAGATTTGTATTTTTTTTTGATTATTTAATAGATTCTAAGCCTACCATTCTTTCGAGATCTTTTCAAAAACACTGGTGACACATTTTTGTTATAATTTCTTGTTGTGAAGAGCTCGTTGTAGAGATTTCCGGTGGAATTCATGAAATTTGTGTAGTCTTCTGTAATTTCATGAAGTAATTTCATGAATTTCTTTTCTAAATCATTTCAACTTTAAGCTATTATCTTGCAATCATAAAATTGTACTTTTGAAACAATTCCTATTGTTAATTGTCTAAAGTTTCCCCTTTAAATATCAACTTCTAGACTATCATAACCCAGAAAGCTTTAAGCTAAGCTAATCTATTCTATTCAATTTATCTGCTTTTAAAGTATATTTTGTCAATTTGAACAGAATTAGACTAAAAATGAAATGAATTAAGCCAAGATTATGAAAGTTTTTGAAAGTTCACACACTTTAGACCTAGCGATATCTCATGGGCCACCAAACTGGCCCATGAGATATCGCCAGGTTTAGCCTAACCCGGCTAACCCGTTTCCAATCTGAATTGGCCTGACCTTGGCTACTCTTACTATTAGTAAGACTAATCAAAGTCATTTTCCTTCGTGACCCTTCAATTTTCAGACTCGAGCTCTTGGCCAGTTCTCAACTTGAGTTTTCCGGAAAAGCGGCTCAAAGTCAGATCCAGGAAAAGGTATTAATTGGACAAGCTTTGATATAAAACTTTTTCAGATGGCCGAACTCGAGCCGCTTCACGACAAGGATTGTGCTGACTTGGAGAAAAGAATTTGAGAAAAAGTGAAAGCTTTTGGTTTGTAGAAAAATGATTACCACTTCCTCCATACTTTGTGAAATCCATTTGAGCATCGTTAATGGATAAGAAAAACAAAAATTCAAATAAAAATAGCATTTAGCTTAGCTTTGCCTAAACGGTTTCCATGATCGAAATCATTTCGCAGTGAAAAAGTCAACAAAGAAATTTGAAATTTGATTCGAAAAAGAGTCTTGAAAGAGGGGAAAAGATGGCGCTTTCCGGTGCCCAATCCCGTTTTTCCTCACCACACTCCACTTGAGTTTTCAGGTGAGGTAAATATTCAATGAAACGTTCAATATCTGAAAACCTAATTGGACATTCCACCTGCCGAAGAGGCTTGATTGGTCCGTGCAGGTGGTTCGACGCGTGTGACAACTGTCACCAAACTGCAAATGCATAACCTCAATCATAAACAAAGCTCAAACTACCGTAGACGAACATTTCAAAAGTTTTTCAGTTATGCATGGTATAAAAGCAGCGGCATAAACCGTAAAGCAATTTATTTTCCCATTTTTTTCATTTGCTCACACTCTGTTGTCCAAATTGTTAGTCTGTAAAGTAATCTTAAATCCTTTAACATTGTTTTTTTTTGTTTTCTCCTTTCATTGCTTTTCATCTAATGCCCAAGTTTTAGGTTCGATAAAGGAGTCATTCAATTGGATAGCTTTCAACTAAACGCCACATTTGATTCAAGTCAGACATTGCCTTTTCTGACGCACACAACACTGCCTCTGCCTCAACACTGTCAACGATTTGCCCCTTATGTGAATGATTTGATGAATATCGGCTTTAATCGAGCTAACCTTGATGTCTGCTGATGTCAATCGTTGTGCTCGTTGAATTTTTTGGTGCTTTCCTCTTTATGGATAAAATTTTTGAATGATATTTTGCAGGGTGAGGGCAGATTAAACCCTGGACCAGCCAGAAGTCCGGTTAGATCAGATATAGAAATGGGATATCAGATATCACTAAAAACTACAAACTACAAACTACAAACACCGATAAACGTGCTATTTATAGCAGTTTTTAGTCTCGTTCCATGGGATAGGACTATAAACAGGGAAAAACGTTATATTTCAGCGCATAGATGGTGGATTCGTTCGCTTGATCTTGATGCCATTCGAAAACCCAAAGTTGACTCGATTTTTTGGTAAAAACAGTTTGTAAAAATAGCTATTCTACGCGTTTCTACAAGCATTTGTAGTCTGATCTTGTAGTTTGTAGCGCACAGCGCCCATGTCTAGCACCCAGTCAGAAGCCAGGCCTCGGCTTATGTGATAATGGATAATAGACAAGAAAAACCATCTTTTTATAGTCTAGCTCACTTGACTTAGATTTTCACCTATTGAACGTTTCATTGAATACAGCTTTTTACAGCTTACAGCTTTTTTCGCACGGATCAATCAAGCCTCTTCGGCAGGCAGAATGTCCAAATTGACAGCCACATCGATGATCTCGTGCACAATCACGCACACAAAGTCATGTAAACTTGGAGCATTCAGAGAACCGATACCCGAATAGTTCCAATTGTATTGGATAATAGACAAGAAAAACCATCTTTTTATCGTCTAGCCCACTTGACTTTGGTTTTCACATATTGAACGTTTCATTGAATATTTACCTCTCCTGAAAACTCAAGTGGAGTGTGGTGAGGAAAAACGGGATTGGGCACCGGAAAGCGCCATCTTTTCCCCTCTTTCAAGACTCTTTTTCGAATCAAATTTCAAATTTCTTTGTTGACTTTTTCACTGCGAAATGATTTCGATCATGGAAACAGTTTAATCAAAGCCAAGCTAAATGCTCTTTTTATTTGAATTTTTGATTTTCTTATCCATTAACGATGCTCAAATGGATTTCACAAAGTATGGAGGAAGTGGTAATCATTTTTCTACAAACCAAAAGCTTGCACTTTTTCTCCAATAGTTTCTAAAGTGTGTGTCTAAAGTCTAAAACTTTCAAAAACTTTCGTAATCTTGGCTTAACTCATTTCATTTTTAGTCTAATTCTGTTTAAATTGTTTAAATATCCTTTAAAAGCAGATACCGTATTTTCTGTAATAGTAGTGCAGTCTGTAATAGTAGTGCAGTCTATAATAGTAGTACAGGCAGGAGGGGGATTGAAAAAATAGTAGTGCACCCTGCTAAAATTTGCTCTGTTGTTGTTCACTTTGACTTCCTTTGTTTTAAAAGCATACTGGTAGCTAAATGAGATGCTATTATGAGATTGTGACTATTTATTTAGTACTGACTAACATATTGTGCTTGTAATTAACTTTTTGACATATTGCTACTACTTCTTTTGGTACTTATGGGTTTTACCCATCGCGCATTTAAGCACTTGACTAAACAAAGGCTAAAACTATGCCTTTGTTTAGTCAGACTATGCCTTTCACATACGGATGACATACGTACATGATACCTATTATTATTGCCTGATAAAGGTATGGATCTAGTGAAAAAAGGAAACTTTCTAATAGTAGTGCAGTCTGTAATAGTCGTGCAGGCTGGAGGGGGATTGAAAAAATAGTAGTGCGCACTACTATTACAGAAAATACGGTAAATTGAATAGAATAGATTAGCTTAAAGCTTTCTGGGTTATGATAGTCTAAAAGTTGATATTTAAAGGGGAAACTTTAGACAATTAACAATAGGAATTATTTCAAAAGTACAATTTTATGATTGCAAGATAATAGCTTAAAGTTGAAATGATTTAGAAAAGAAATTCATGAAATTACAGAAGACTACACAAATTTCATGAATTCCACCGGAAATCTCTACAACGAGCTCTTCACAACAAGAAATTATAACAAAAATGTGTCACCAGTGTTTTTGAAAAGATCTCGAAAGAATGGTAGGCTTAGAATTTATTAAATAATCAAAAAAATCTAAAAATCTAAAAACCTAGCCAGTGATTCTTCTCCTTTTATCGTCAATTTTCAACTCTGGTATTTCAAGATGTTCACTTTGGTTTGAATTAAAGAATTCTCAAAAAAAACAATTATTTAGGATGCTGAGAGCCAACAACTCGGGTTTTGTTTGGAGTTTATTGAGGTAAGGGAGTTTTTTGGCTTATGAACTTAGATCTTAGACTTGGCAAGATCTGAGATTGGCTTGGGATCCGGTGGATTTTGATGGAATCGATGTCATTTACGTGAATGTCGCTCAATTGTGGCTGCCCGATAGCATGATGGGGAATACGTAAGGGAAAAGTGAATGTGTGCTGTGCTTTGGGTTTAAGAAAGGCAAATAGAGTACTACATGTACTCTGTACAACCGATGGATGGGTACCAAGTCATTGTGGGATTTCAAAATGATTCAAATTCAAAATAACACCTAGCTCATTCGATAAGATTTCGGGATTCCGAATCTGTAAACAAAATCTGCAGAATGGCTCGCAAGTGGGCAAGTGGGGGATTCGAACCCAGGACACAAAAAAGCTCGGCTAGTTCCGTAAACGAGCACACTATTCACTACACCATAAATGCTGCTTAAAGACTTCTTGGAACCGTATTGGAACCGTATTGGAACCGTATTGGAACCTAATAGATCGAAATAGGAACCGTATTGGAACCGTATTGGAACCGTATTCGGACCGTATCGGAACCTAATAGATCAAAATAGGAACCGTGTTGGAACCGTATTGGAACCTATTATATCAAAATAGGAACCGTATTGGAACCGTATTGGAAGCTAATAGATCAAAATAAACTCGACTCAAAAGTGCAAAAACTCTCGCGTTTCGCCAAAAATTCCATTTTTCGATTTTCACGATTTCAGGAATAAAGCCCTTAAAGACAGAATGCAGCATATTGAACGTTTCATTGAAGATTTACCTCTCCTGAAAACTCAAGTGGAGTGTGGTGAGGAAAAACGGGATTGGGCACCGGAAAGTGCCATTTAGGCAGTAGGCATGCCGAGTGGGTAAAGGATATGTTTCAATTCCTGGCAACCCTGGTTCGATTCCCGACCACGCAAAATTATTTTACGTCTTTCTTTTATTATTATTTGAAAATAACAGAGATTGTTTAACAGAGGTGAAGAAAGAATGAAAAAATGAAAAAAATATAATTTTGGGTTACAAAGAGCACATAGAATCAATGCAATATCCTTACAACATTTCAGGAATTCTTGGAAAGGTACCTCAAGAAGGATTTCGGCTGACACCAATTTGAACCTAAAAATAAAACCAAAACATCAAGAAAACATTATTGACAAAAAGAAAGAAGAGGTAAAAAAAAGTTTTGCGCGGTCGGGGATCGAACCAGAGTTACAACAAATCGACTTTTTAATCGATTGATCGATTTTTACCCACTCGGCAGTGACACTGTTGCTATGTCGTCTTTAAGGACTTTATTCCTGAAATCGTGGCCTAAAATAGCCCAAAATTTAAATTCTTTTTGCAAAAAAAATATCGCTCATTCGCAAAAACGGATTTCACCGTCGTCGATACAGCGTACAGCGTCTTCGATAGGCGTTTTGTCTTGATTTTCAGGTTGAGATCCCACCGCTAGATCTAGGCATTCCCTTGTGAGTTGAGTCTATCCCTCCTTCAGCACAAATAGAAATCAAATTCCTAAAAAATCTACCTAACTCTAGAAAAACATTGGATATCGAGCATCCAGACTCTGTGCGTGCTGTTTCAATATCAAATAATGGAACAGTGACCATGCCGACTGTTTTCTATGTGGAGAGCTCGTGTGTCATTACGGTAAATGCCCGAGTTTTAGCTATAATTTCAAATCTAGGTAAATGTTTTCCCATTCGATACTCAGAAATGCAATGTTCCCATCATGTCATTTGTATATGGAGGGTGAGTGATTTGGAGTTGAATGGAAAGAAGATAAAATAGAGATGATGTGGTGACAACGGGTGTGGTGGGGGACAAAGCGATCATGGTGTCACCGGTAAGTTGAAAGAATTCATTTGCATAGAGCTTAGGCAAGGAAAAAAGCTGCACGAAGAAGCCAGAGAGAAAATTTAGGACATAATAAACATGAGCTAAACTCAAGTATCATAGAATATCATGGTATTCAAGTGACAACGCTGGTTATCTGTCAAAAGCTTTAACCAAGGATTCTAAGCTTTTTGAAGTCTGTCGTTAAAGAAACTCAGGGAAATGGTGAATGGGAAGTGACTAATGTAACGACGTTGGACACCGGTTTTGATACTATGCAAGTGGTGGGTTTTGGATAAGCCATTCTTACAGTAATCAAATAGAGAGAGCTTTGTGCAATCACATTTCAGTTTTATTTCGAAATTCACCTCAAACGTGTTCCCAATTTCTACATCTACGTGATCGCACTACCGTGTTTCATCTTGACATTGCTTTCAATCATCGGAATGTTTTGGTCGCCGAATGTTCGAAAAGAACAACTCACAAAGGTTTACAGAATATTATAAATATTGTCAAGAGTGAAATTTCACATAAACAAAAGAATTCATATAATCAAAAGATCCAGTTGAGTATCGGTTTGACGAGTATGGTGTCAATGACTGTTTTGTTGGACATGCTAGCTACAGCTATTCCGAAGACGGCTGTTTTTCCTTTGTTGGGTGAGTAAATACTCAAATAAAGCCACAAAGCCATAAAGACAGGCGTACAGTCGCGTAGTCTAACTTTGAACGTAATTTCTACATCTACGTGATCGCTTAACTTAAATAAACAAATTTGAATAGTAAAATGTAAGCTTCAAATAAAGTTAATCATTTTTTTTGAGGGTTTTTAGCGAATCTTTATTGAATAACAATCTCTAGAGAGATTATTTCTCTGTCTGTCTGTTATGCTATTTTAGAAAACTGCTAAACCAATTTCAGATTGATATCTGAAAATCTAACTATTACCGTCTTTCTCTAATAGTAGTGCACCCCAGCGAGCCGAGTTGGTGACTATTTTACTGTTTCCAAGCTTTTGCAGAAGCTCAACACTCAAATCTCCCACAAGATCTCATCGTCAGCTACATTTTCCGACCCCACATCGATAGGTTCTGATAAGCGGCTTTTGAGTTTTCGAGGAATTTAGGCAACGCTCAGGGTGCACTACTATTAGAGAAAGTACGGTATATCTAAAATTTATCGACTTTCCAAAAATCTAATTATTTTTGAGAGTTAATTGGACGGGTTTTTTTGCAAAAAGCTGAATTTTAGAATCTCCTTTATAAAACTATCCTTGACTTTATTTAATATTTAATAAAATTTAATTGAAAAAGAAAGCAAATTGGTTACGAGTATTAACAATGTACTCTACAATGACTTGTAGCCTATACTAATAATGACTTGTACTACAATGACTCTACACTCTACTAATAATTTGCTTTGCCTTTAAATTAAGCCCAAAAAAACTCTTCTCTGGTGCACATCTTTCTTGCACTAAAAGCATCGCTGTGAGAGCTGAAATGAAGAGATTTAAATCCACTAGATTCTGCGCCAATTTTTAAGCATAAAGTCTAACTTTGAAGAGCACATTTATCATTGAAATCTAGGGATTTACGTTGTTGTCTGTGTCGGTATCATCTCAGCCGCTTGCGTTGTCATCGTCGTTTTCGCCTTGAAAAACCCAAAGAAGAAAAGCGATTTCGAAATGAGAAAAGATGAGGAAGCGAGGGAAATGATGACGAAGAGGTAGGTTTTTATAGAAAAATTCAAAAATTAAGATTTAGAGATAAGTTGATCAAATTTTTCAAAGAGGACTGCCGGAGGAGACATCTTTTCTTTCAGCTTTGCTTTCAAGGGGTCAATCTCGCTGGTTTCATTGTCTTTCTTTCATTTTGGAAATGAGGAGATAAATATTTATCAAAAAAGCTCATAAATATAAATTTCCCATTCAAAAACCCGTTTACTGCGAGTTTTTCTGGTGCTTTATGTTTGTCTGTGCTTTGTCACCGTGGAGTATTCGAGAGCGCGCTTGTCTACGATCCAAACCACCTGGGTTCGGCACCTCGTAGTGCTACAGCTTTGATCTTTTGCATTTCTTATCTTAAATAGTACAACTATCTTGTATTTTAAGACTTTTAAAAGAATTTCAGTTTTTTGGCCTAAAGAGAAAAAGAAAAAGGCTGAGAAAAAGTGAGTACAGACGGACAGACAGCTTTTTTATATGTTACATCCGATTTTGAAACCTTTGAAATCGATTTTCACCTAGAAAAGTCATTTCACAAAGAATTTTGCAATGTCATCAGTAAAATTCTTAAGAAAATCTAGTTAAAGTCAAGCAAAATTCTAGTTTTATTTGGCACTTTAGTACAGTACTGGACAATGAAATATGATATTTGAAAAACGATCGTCACTTTCGCGCGTCTTTAACTCCCTTGTCTTTGAGTTTAAACTATTAGTGTTTAACATTTTCTGGAAGCTCTTTTCAATGGCTACACAATGGTAATATTAATATTTAGAAATACGGTAAAGACAAGCAGTTACAGACGCGCGAAAATGACGATCTTTTTTCAATTATCATATTTCATTGTCCAGAAGTGTATCTTAACGGAAAGCTTATCTTAAAGCTCTCGAAATTACGCTCTTTTTATTTATTAATCAAATTTTAAACAATATTTTATCAAAAACATAACAAAAGATACATTTTTTTTGATTTTTAAAGGAAATTATGTAAAAAAAAAACTCTAATTTGTTTAGTAATTTAGTGATTTTAATGCAAAACATGCAAAACATGCAAAAAAAACATTATTCTGTTAAAAAGGTTTCAAAATTAGACTTAACAAATTCCACGTAACAAAATTAATAAAATTGACAACTCTAGAAAGGAGAAAATGTGTTTGAAACGAAAATTTTCCGAGTTAGGGCAGGGTTTGGGTTTAATCTGGCTTCTGATTCACCTGACTCTTTTGAATCTCTTTTGAATGTTGACAGGGTGACCAAGAATTACCGCAACAACTTTTTGAAAAACTATCGGGGAAATGTCTACTTTATTTCAAAAGTGGCAAGTGTTATACAGAGAATTGTAGGCCTAATTCTCGGCAACATTTATCTACCAAAAACATCCCGATTGGACTTATACAACTCATTTAACAAGCGCTTGAATGAGCGCTAGTCGACATCTCTCCGGCGAAGCTATCATTTGGCCGCTTTTCTCTATTGAAAATTGTTAAGAAAAGCTTTTCAATATTCCTCCAATGCAAAAATAGCATGTAATATCACTTAATAACATTAGGAATCACACTTAAATCTTTTGGCTGGACTGGCATAACCAAAATTTAAGTTGATGTCAAGCTCCTTTTGGAGGAGCAGGGAAAGTTGAGTATTTTCGAGATTCAGTTCATATGGGTATCTCGTTATATCAGCTGTTCTGGCACTATAAATTTGTTGAAAATAATTTTTTTTGAACAAAATTACCACAAATTTGACTGAGAAAAATTTTTTCATGTAGAAAAGCGGCCAAATGATAGATTCGCCGGAGAGATGTCGACTAGCGCTCATTCAAGCGCTTGTTAAATGAGTTGTATAAGTCCAATCGGGATGTTTTTGGTGGATAAATGTTGCCGAGAATTAGGCCTACAATTCTCTGTATAACACTTGCCACTTTTGAAATAAATTAGATATTTCGCAGATACTTTTTCAAAAAGTTGTTGCGGTAATTCTTGGTCACCCTGTAGATTTCAATTTTTAAAACATATAAAGAAGCTTTTATTTGACCGGTTGCGGTTGAAAATCCAATATTTTCATTGGGCAAGCAGTTTCAGGAAGTGACACTTACTCTGTGAGGATTCCGTCAGGAAGCCGGCAAAGAACAGAGCCTCAACTACAGATCCCAATTTTATATTGCAGTTAGATTGTCTTTCACGTTCATGATTCGAAAACTTTTATCGCAATAACAACAAAAAGTGACAACAAAGCTCCTTTTAAAGTAACTAAACATAACAACGTAGATCACTCGAAATATAGCCAGCGATTAGCCAGGTGATAACACTAGCGGAATAAAGTGTACAAAACTAAAATTCCAAAAATCAATACATAACAAAATTGAATCAGGGCAACAGAAAAATTATAACAAAACACAACAAAAAGCAGTCCATTCGCACTAACATCTTCGCATATCCTCGACAAGAATTCAACTCCCTTCCTTGCGGGCGTTCTTCAGCCATAGCTCGTTGCATTCGTGATCAGCCGGCAAAACGAGAGGCTCCAGCTAAAAATTCCATTCATGTAACAAATATCAAAACAGTTAATTTGAATTTAAAATGATTTCTTTAAAAAGATACATTTATTGAACACCATCTAACTTCAGTGAAAAACCTTCAAACTTACACGTCTGTAATTGATGCCGGCGATGAATCGATGGTCCAGGGCTTCTCTGCACGTTAGTCGCTTTGATGGATCTAGAGTCAACATCTTGTCGATTAAATCAGCGGCAGCTTCCGGAAGACGCATCCATCTAAACATTTTAATGAGGATCGCTCACAATTTCCGCTGCCTATAATCAACGCTCACTTTTGAATATTTGCCCTCAATCGTCTCTCAAAGTGTTGCTTCGGAACCATATTGTAGGATGGAAGAAGAGTTACACCTGGCCACACCCTTGAGATCATCGAGCCGCACACCTAAAACAAAACATATCTTTCTAAAAACAAACTTTACCTTTGAAATTTCATCGAGCTGTACTTTCTCGGAGTCTCCACGGAACAACGGCTTGTGCGAAAAAAACTCGAAGAGGATGCAGCTAAACAAAGACAAAGCTGAATAAAGCCAAAAAAAGAGCTTACCCGGCACTCCAAATATCTATACTAGGCCCATAATTTTCTTCACCAAGCAACAATTCGGGAGAACGGTACCATAAAGTGACTACCTAAAGAGACGTTGCACAGAAAACAGGAAAACTCTTACTTGTTTCGTGTATGGGCGCGTGTTCTCCGGATCAATTTGCCGCGCCAATCCAAAATCTGCCAACTTGAGAGTGCCCCTAAACACATTATTGAACACCTGGTTGTTAAATAAATAGCTTCACCCACCTATTGCTTAAAAGAATATTTGATGGCTTTAGGTCTCGGTGTACGACCTTATGCTCATGACAGTATAATAATCCCTAAAAGCTATATTTATACAAGAGTTGTATGCAACAAACTTCTAACAATTGCCGAAAAAGTGCTGCCGCTTGGGTGAAGTTAAGTTGCAAATAGTGAGATTCGAGTAGCCCTTTCAAATCATGTTCCACGTACTCGAAGACCAAGAAAATTTCGCCTAGAAACAAAGAATAATAAGTGCTTCACCTGAAAAAACAAACTTTCTGGATTCCTAATATTTTGGTTTGAGTCCGTGACCACATCGAGTAATTGCACCACATTTGGATGGTTCAACAAGCGCAAAGTCTAAACAGCAGTCAAGTCAGGATGGCATTATAAGACCTTACCTTAATCTCCCGAATCGCACTCAGTGGAAATCCTTGCTTCTCTCCTTCAAGTGACAAATTTTTGATGGCCACTTCACGCCCTAGAAGTTTTTAGAATTTGAAACTTTTTCCACTAGATCTAGATAAACTCTATTAACGATGTCGTCACGATTTAACAGTTTTGTAGAAATACATCTCAAAATGCCTACCAGTGTCTCGGTGACGTCCTTTGAACACTTTCCCATAAGATCCAGAGCCGATTTCATTCTTCAGGTCATACTGCTCGATAAATCCAGAAAACCAGCATGCTTGCGAATTCAAAGGCCTTGGATCATCAACAATACTAAAAAACAAAAGTGAAAGAATGTGATCATAACTACCTTGGCCGAATTCGACTTTTTGTTGAGTAGAAGAGTGGCGCGTGATCTAATGGCTCGCTTTTTGGTTGAATGGAAGAGCCGTTGACCCAAAATAATCCGTATTCATAAGCTTTTATTAGGTAATTCTTAAGTCGCAGTGCTATCAATATTTATCGTACCAGCTTCATCCGAGCTTGAAAAGAAGTCTCATTTTCGAGAATCTGATCGACGAGTCGCACTTCTCGCTGCTGTGTCTTCTTGGGGATTCGAAAAGGCACGGGTTTTTGGGCTGTTTCACACTTCGGCTGTTCTAAAGAAAATGTAATTGACAAGTCAACTTTCATAAAACCAACCGCTTGATTTGGCCTTTGAATCCTCCGTCACTTGGCTCGCCACTTCTATCAACTCAGAAATCGGAGTTGACGGTGATTTTTCCTTCGGCGAAAGCACATCGATCTTTGGAGTTCTCAAATTTGCAGCAGTTGGCGTAGCAATTTGATGAATCTTCGCATGAGCCATTTGCTAAACAGTGTTATTTGGAAATGATAAATTCTTTTCACCGCTTCGAACACACATTTGCAAAAAACGAACCGTCTTAACAAAGGCTTCAGAAGAGTCTGAAGAACAAGGACTACTAAAAATCGTTTTTGCAAAGCTCATCAATAAAGAAAACTAACCTAATACTATTATTTGGCAAATCATTGTCATCCTCCTTTAAAAGCAAGTTCTCCTTTTCGTCGTTGAAGACTGGCGTATCCACGTTTAATGATGGAGATGCTGAGATTTGTCGAGCCTCTTTCTTCATTCTTGGGCTCATCGGAAGATTTGATCGTTCTCTACTAAATTACTACTAAATGACACTTTTTGTTGCAAAATTGCAAATGCTAAATATTTCCCAATCAAACATACCTTCGTTTTGCAACTCTTCTGGGGGAAATCCCGTCCTTTCCGAACCATTCGTGTGCTCTTTGCGGAGATCGATCTCGCCTGTCACTTCTAAATAAGAAAATATAGACTTGCTAGAAAACAAAAACTATTTTTATTTTTACATCGTTAAATCCCCGCCGCAAAACAATCTCGAATAACTTCCTATTCGATAAATATATCTTCCTAGTTCATAAAAAGCGTCAAACAAAGGAGGCAGATTACAGAGCTCTCTTTTGTTCAAAATGGAAAAATACCGCAGTCACGGATACTTCAATAGTAAGTACCACTTTTAAAATCAACATTCAATAAAAGCCAACCTTTGCCGTTCAATATGTTGTCGCTCGTGTTTCCTCGCTTGACTTCTCCAGGGTTGACTGTTCGCACGATGGTTTCCGTAGTCTCCTTTTCCATGCACTCGATAGCCATCATGATGAGTTGAACGTCCTTGATCTCCGTGTCTTCTCGAGTTATCATCATTTCTGCGTGGCGCGAAGTCTTCCGGGTGATTCCGGGTGTTGTTCCTTTCATTGCCATAGGGACGTCGTTGACCACTTGCTTCACTCCGGCGACAATCCTTTTTCGTGTGACCCGGTTCTCCACATCGAAAGCATATCGTCGGCATCTAAATGAAACAAATTATTTTAAAGAAATGAAAAACTGCAAACAAAAAACACGGCAATGCACAATTCTAATCGGCTAACGCATAGACTTTGACAAAAGTGCCTGACCTCCCTACCCAGCTACAATACCATTTCCCTACCCAGGTACAATAGCGCAATAGTTTGGGGGTGGCTAATTCGCGCCAAATTTTTCGCGCAATTCGGCCTTTGGCGCAACTTTTGTTAACTGTATGGAAAGGCGAATGACAATGGGAGAAGTTTGACGAATCGACGAAATAACGAGGCTGTTTAGCGGAACAACAGTTAGCCCTTATCCAGAAAAATGAAGACGACTAAAAGAATCACAATCGATTCTTACCCAAAAATGTAGAAACAAATGGGAGGGGGGAGCAAAAATAAAATAAAATGGCACAGACTACGGGGCTTTTCTAGTGACAACCTAGACAGACGCGGAAGGTGCACTTTAGAAAACGACAATTTGGTAGGGAGTATAAAAGGTTATCTTCCCAACAACAAGTCAAAGAATTGCACTTTGCGCCAAATCTTTTGCGCAACTCGCCACTTTCTTCTAAGTGGGCCAATCTTGATGACACAGACTACAGGAATTCTCGCAATTAATGAAATACATGGTTCAGTTCAAGCAATGTTCAATGTTCAAGAAATATCAATGAAATGCACTTTTCATTGACTTTGAGAAATTTCAATAAGAAGCTAGAAAAATGACAGATCAAGTTACACCATGGTCAAATTCGCGTTGATTTTAGGCTTTATGAGCCGATTTTTCGGAAGTTTGAGCGTTTTCACGAATATAAATACAGTGGTGAAAAAAGTATTGGCCGCTCATGACAGAAAAAGTTGATTGTAATTTTTTTTTCTTATATTATTAATTATTAATGATTAACCATTTCGTTGTGTCCTGTTACTATTTGTTAGAGTGCTCGTAGAACTATTAAATGAAAAATTTTCTTTTTTGATGTGTACAATTGACGTTGAATCTAAAAAGCACTCACGTCGGTAGTTCGCCAACTTAAAGTTCAGCCACATCTTTGCAAAAATCAAAACGACGACGACACCGGATGCTATTGTGGTATTCAAGGGAGTTGTGACAAACTGAAAACTCAAAAGCAACTGCAATTTTTCAATCGAGTTATGTCAATATGCCAATCATTCATATCAGCTGGCTGACAATCTACAGGGTGTCTCAAAAAAAGGTCCCTTTTCAAACCGAATTTTAGAAAAACTTTAAGTGGCTATTGGTGGCACTCCTGGTGCCAAAACTGTTTTGACCAAAAATGGCAGAGGCTTTGTCTAGTGCGCTATCCTCTAGCCAGTCGCTACTCTTGGCTCCTTTCCGCTTGGCGCCCTCTTATAGGCGAGTTGGCAGTTTGGCGAAATTAGCCAAAACTAGCTAGTGGAAGGCAAGTTAGTTGACGATATTCGGGCATTCGGGCTACTCGAAGATGACATTGATGCGGTCACTGCCGTTTCCTGAAGAAGAAAACTGTTGCCATATTTGTTATTTGGCATGGAAAATGCTTCAAGGGTTATTCCAGGGTTAGGCCAGGGCTATTTCATGAAGTTTTTCTGGGCCAAACCGAATTTACTTTTCTTTTAGTTTTTCAATTTCGGACCTGAAAAGTATAAAGTTTTCTGATAACTAGTGATTTTAAGGTAGCTTTTCGAATATGAGCATCCGCTTGGAGCAACTCTTTCTTGAATTTAGCCAATCTTACTTGATCTGGTTTAGTTTAGTAGTATTTTCTGAGTTTTTTGGAACAAATTTGCTTTGTTCTCAATTTTACACAACTTGTACAGTTTCAAAGAACAATAAAGTGTTTTTCATGCAAAATGTGCTTTCAGTCACATATCAAACTGTGCCCAGTCACTTTTCTCGACACTTTTTAGTCTTTTTAATCAATCAATCTCGAATCTAAATGTTCTTAAAATCACAAGATGCACAAACGAATGTTTAGATGTATTCAATGAAACGATTCCTAAATATTCCAGCTTTTAACCAACAGACATCGAGTGCAAAAACGCTTTTTAATATAAAATTTGAGGAGGCAATGAGACATAAGGAGCTTATCAGACATAAGACATAGGCAATGAGCTTATCAGGCATAAGGCATTCCTTTGTAACGAAAAGGCTCGAATGTGTTATGATAGGCCAATAATATAAAAGCCTCTTGTAAATAGAATCTCTCCACTTTTTGGTAGATCGGCGATGGGAGGATTAAGCGTATTACTTCTGGCCGTAACGTTGAGGCCTTCACTTCAACAAAAGTTGTCCCAGAGAATCGTTCTTTGTCGGTGAGCTTGGTGATTGTGTTCATCCAGACAACGATGGTATCTTTTGCATAAATGTAAATTACCACAAGTTAGATAATTTTATGATGTTACGCCTAGAAAATCCACTAATCCTTCAGTTTCTCCAATGGCTTACGCAGAGATGTACTGCCAGGCTTTTGGAGGTCATCTGCTCTCTGTCATTTTCATTTTCAATTAATGTTATAGTATAAGATTTATTCATTGAGGAAAAGAGTTGACGCTTTTCTAGATTTACAAGCGTTCTCAAGTCGTTTCACAAATTCGTCTCGATTCCCAACACCTGAAAAATTCATTATTGTTTATTTATTTACAAATTTACAAGTTTTCTGATGAATTATAAAGGTATTTATGAAATTTCTGATACCTATAAATTGCAAAGGTTTCCTTCTTCCATCGGCTTCGATTTCAATCGATTTTCTCGTTTTCGCCATTAGTGTCAAAGTGTTCAAAGAAGAGATCTGAAAAAGTTGAAAAAGTGAAGATTACTGTAAAGTCCAAGTTTTTGTCTTACTACAGAAGAAAATAGACTAAATATCCTTCAAATGTTGAAGCCAAGATACTGTAGTAAGGCAGGATCTGTGAAATGAATCGAATGAATCGAATGAATCGAATGAATCGAATGAAACGAATGAATCGAATGAGTCGAGGAATCGAATGAATCGAATGAATCGAATGAATTGAATGAATTGAATGAATCGAATGAATCGAAGGAATCGAATGAATCGAAGGAATCGAATGAATCGAATCAACTCACCTTTTTGACGATCCTCAAATCCTCCAACATTACTAGTAAAAGCTCTTCATCTTTTCCTCGTTGCTTGAAAATTATTGCCCTAAAAGAATATTTGATTTTCTATAGAATTCTATTGTTTACCTGTCAGTTAGATAAAGATTCCCGTGTGTGATCCCCTTTGGAAAGCGTTTCTCTTTATCGTGAAGGACACAACTTCGTACTAAAAAATTGATTCATTTACTTCTACACTAGAATCTATTTACTGGTAAAATGGTAATTTACTTGGTAATTGCTGGTAAAATTTATCAAACTCTTTAGCATTCTTATGAACTGAGAACTTTAGATTTTAGATAAATAGATAAACTATAGATAAACATAGATAGATAGATAAACTCAATAGTCAATAGTCAATAGTCACGAGTCAATAGATAAATGAAGTCAATAACTTACACGAGATCACATTGTCGATCATCGGATCTTCGTTCTCGAGACTTTCCTCGTCATTCTGAATGTGTTTCTATTGAATTTCTATTGAATTCACATAAAAGATGGGATATTTGATAAAATGTATCCAATTTAAGCTTATTTCCTTTCAACAAACCTCTTTTGAGCTTTCAGATTCAAGCCTCAATATTGGGACTGATTTTTGTTGAGTGAGTGGTGGTCGATTCATTGTCGATGAGGAGAACACCTTAAAATCTATGCTCTACAACAATTTTTGAAGCTTTAATTTACATTTATTCACTCATTGTTGATACTAAGTTTAGACTATAAATAAAATTCATTTAATATAGATTTAGGTGAGAGTAAAAGCTGTAATGATCTTCAAGTAATGAAAAGAAAGACAGTCTTACAAGAGAATGGCCAGAAGTGACTCGAAAACGAAGCAGGTTTCTATAAAAGGGCTTCTTTTGACCAGATGAACTGTGTCATCGTGGCCATGGGGTAAAGTCCACGCCTCCCATTCTGGTGGGGCTGGTTCGATCCCGGCTGGCGCTTTTTCTCCATTTTTTTCCAAACTTGTTTCAATAAGATTTCAAGGGTTTAAACTTTAATTTATGCTTTTGTTGTTTTCCATTCAGAGAAAATAGATCAATGGAGTGAAAGTGATATTGCATTGGTTTTGTGATTGTTGTTGTTGTTGTTGTTGTTTTGTTGTTGTTGTTGTTGCATTGGTATTGTGATATCATTATTGAAATCTACTTTAAATTCAATACGGTTATGGAAATTTAAAGAAGTTTCGTCAATATTCTTGGTTTGTTGGTGTCAATACGCCGAAATTTGAAAGCCATTTTTCTCGAAAACTAGGGATTTTTAGCAAAATCCGAAAGCACCATCGTACTCGCCGTATTTGATCTCATTTTTGGTGCCGAAATCTCACACTCACTTCTGATCATTCCCTTTACAACTCTTGTAATAGATTTCACTTACACTTGTTGTTGAATGAGTGAGTGTACTATTCGCTTTTGAGTCAAAGTCAATTTCGTTTGTACTGACGGCTTTTTGTTGTGAGTTCAGGCGTGAGTCTGAGGTGTAGAGATTTCGGTTTGAGTCCTGAAATTGAAATTTTAAACTTACCGTAAATACTGTAATAGTACTCCCCCCCCCCGTACAGTCGCGTAGTCGCAAAATTTTTTTAGTTTTTAGTTTTTCATTTTTTTCAAAGCGCCCATACTTTCAAAAAATGCGTCTTTGGTATCAAAAAATAGCTGAAATTCAGGGCTATTTTTTGAAATTTAAACGAGCATTGTAGCATAAACCAGTGTCGAGAAAAACTCGTTCAAAGCTAGACTACGCAACACTCCACACCGTCATTATGGCGGTGGGGTACTATTACAGAATTTACGGTATGAATCAATTGAATAGCAATTTTTAAGTACAATTTATATCAATTATATCAATTGCAAGTACAATTTTTGACTTAGAGGAAGATTAGCATCATCAAAATCTACCCTCAACTGTGACGATGAAGCTCTTGTTGTTGTGGATGTTGTAATCGACTCGAAATCGTCTCTTCTTTCATCTTTGAGCTTTTTCTTTATCGGAAGATTACGGTAGAAATATCTGAAGATTGAGATTTAGGGAATTACCATTATTACAAGGGAATTATTTCATTTTCTCAAAGCGCCCATACTTTCAAAAAATGCGTCTTTGGTATCAAAAAATAGCTGAAATTTAGGGCTATTTTTTGATATTTAAATGCGCATCATAGCATAAAGCAGTGTCGAGAAAAACTCGCTCAAAGCTAGACTACGCAACACTCCGCACCGTCATTATGGGGATGGGATACCCAAAAGTATCCAATCCAATTCTTACCCAAAAGTATCCAATCGATTGCGCAAACGGGGGAATTTCTCGAAGAGAAACGTGGTAAAAAAGATTCGAATGCCCAGAGCTGCTACTAAAAAGAAAAGATTATCATTTCAGTCAACTAGAAACGATTTGTTTAGATGGCTTTGAGCATAAAGTGTACTAGGTGTGATGATAAGACTTTTCAGTGAGTCCTTGGTTTAGCTTCAGTGAGTCGTTCAGTGAGTCCTTGGTTTAGTTACCCAACAAGTGACTCGAAACACTCACCACACCATCCAATGCATGTGCCCGTATTGAAAAGAAGAGACCAAAATAGCCAATAGATTAACAAGCCAAAGAACACTCGGCTCACTTTGAAATCTTTCCATGTTACGAGGCTAAATCATTTCATATTTTTGAAACTGAAAACCCCCCTTACGCATTCAATTTCTCCAGGAAATCTGCAGCAAATCCTAGCAAATGTTGTCCAATTTTGGCAACCTCGTAGATTACTTGGGCTCCAGTGAGATCAAACTTTGGCATTGGTACATCTTTCCGTGGGAGGAAGTTCAATCCGATATCGATTTTACTAAGAGATTTCTTAATTCAAGACATTTTTGATTGCTTACTGTTTAGCTTTCAAATAATTTAACGAGAATTGAAGGTAGATGAGAGCGATGAGAAGCGAGGCTAGCCAGCCACGATAAAGAGAGTAGAAGAAGACCTAGATGGGGATTTTATTGATAAACGAGTGCTTAAGAGTTGATCAATTGATTTCTACAGTGATGGGCCTATGCTTTAGGATGATTCAAAAACCAGATCATTCTAAGCAAGGCCAGGATCTACTAGCATTGCTTTATCTGGTTTCTGATTTAGTTTATTGGGTACATATAACTCTAGTGGACTTAAAACAATACGAATTTGCATAAGTTCTTGTCCAACTAACCCACAAGTACGCTATAGTACAGTCAAAAGTCACAAGTACGCTATAGTACAGTCACAAGTCACAAATACGTACATGTGACTTTCGTGGACCAAGAATATATGCTAATTTGTGCTCTTTGAGTGTAAATCTTTGTTCTGGGTCATATGCATCGTTTACTGTAAAATTAGCTGGTAAAAAGAAGCAACTTTATTTCTTAAACTTACCAGCATCAACAACAGCGTGGACAATGGATTTTTCCATAGAAGCAAATCATACAAAGCGGCAGCGCATTGAATGAATGGATGCATGGCAGCGTCTAGAAAGTGAGTGCTCAGTTTTTTAGTTAGTTTGGTTTTCTATTTTTGCAAAAAAACTTACAACATCGTCGAATATCTTTTCTCAATTGGAGAGCGCTTAAACGAGTTCCCTCGAGGAGACGAGCCTCTTCACCGCGCGGGGTCTGAAAGTAGAAGTAAAGTAAAGTAAAGTAAAGTAAAGTTAAGTTAAGTTAAGCGTCAAAGATGTTTCTGTGATGCTTATTGTTTGTAGCAAAGCCAAAACAAGTCATGCTCACTATTCATAATGTAAAGTATTAAATTTAAAGAAGAAAAAAAACAAAAAAACAAGAGCAAGACTGAACCCCAATCTTACCATCGAGAGCCCCACTATCCATTAGGCCAGAAAAGAGCTCTTTAAAGCTTATCTTCAATTTTCACTCAATCTTTACACATTTCTTCTTTAGCAGAGCTTCTTTAGCAAACTTCTTTAGCAGATTCTCATTTGAGATCATGAATCTCCATACTCGATTTAGTCAAATGTATGTAAACGAAAGCTCACAGAAAGTTCGAGTCAACAGCTAGCTTTGAAGTCAGGAAAAAGACTTTAGTAGTAAAAAGAAGATGAATAACTAGTAGAGAAAAAGGATAGAGAATAGTACTAGCATTATTACGCAAATAATTATATTAATTCTTGTCTCACCTCAAACGCTTCAACGATATCATCCAAAATATTTCGTCCCTCTTTTCTCACTTGTGACCACACCGAAGTCGAGGGTTCATTTGTACAATCTAAAGCTAACAAATTGAATTTTCTATATTTAATTTGTATTTACAATTACATATACTTAAAAAGATTACATTTACATTATAAATCTATTATGTCAGCTCCGAGTCAAACTGATATTTTAGTTACTATTGTTATTATTGAATGATTTGTCTATTCTTATGCAAATGTGTCCTCTCCTGTGCTTATCCCTTTTATTGCGAGAAGCTTATCCTTGGGATTGCCTAGGAGGACAAGTGAGACTCTTATTTGGAGTCCCCCCTTCCCCTTACACTTATTTGTAATCTATTCGTCTTACTATACTACTGTAAATAAAGATACATATCTTCCGGGTCTATGCAACTGCAGTACAGGTCGGTCATTTCACAGGGACTCCCCTCTAATACGTTGGAGGAGTTGAGTTGGGTTGTCGGGGTGTTAGAGATGGCGGGATATCAAAAGGGATCCACTCTCTTTAACTTAACCCAAATTCTAGTCCACATCCGTTTATACCTAGGAACGAATAAAGCCAGGTTTATTCCAGAAGCAATTTTCCAGAAGGTAGGTCCCGGCTTTGATCCTGACTGTACCCCAGACTCCCCAGAAGCCAGCCTGAACCTGACTTCTGATTTAGTTTACAAACTTTATACGCCTAACAGATAATGGTTGATTTTCTGACCTTGATTTTTCTTGATTTAAAAATCTATTACCATTTTGTTCATCAATCGACGAGATGCTCGTGCTTTCGTCGGCGCCTAATTTGAACGGAGATTTCGTTCTGGAAACAAAAATAAATTAATAAAATCATTGATAGCTTACTGTATAGCTACTGTATAGCTAAGTTCTTTTAAAATCTAATCATTAAATTTGAATTTTCATTAATACAGAGAAATCTTGTACCTTCTTTTGTATGGCCGAGGCGAGGCGTCAACTCTCCGTCCCAATGGGTTGCTCACCATGCTAAAAAATGATCTTAAAAACAGATAAATGTATTTAAAGTAGCTCTATTTATATATAATCTATTTATATCTTTATTGAATATCTTTTAAAATCTATATCTAGTTTGTTAAAAACGAACTTTTTCTCTCTTTCTCTTCCCTCAGAGATCTCTTGTTCTTTGTCGATATCGGCGAGGACTCGGACTGTAGTTCTTTCATTATTTTTCATTATTTTTCTATATTTTCTATATTTTTGATTTTCATAATCAATTTCAGCTCTTTTTTATTTCTATAGAATGTTTGAAAAGAACCGTTTTTACAACAACAAAAAAAATGAAATTTTCCTTGAAATTTTACCGATCAAAAATCTCTTTAAAGATAACGAAGTGTTCAAGGATTCAAGGAAAATGAATGCTTACAGATTTCAACTATTCTGCAGCCGGTAATTCAACAAATAAATAAATCCTAAATTTCAATTTCAACTTTTTACATTTTACAACATTTAAAGCTCGGTAACTCAAAGCAATCCAATTCTTCAACTTCAATTTAGATTTCAACTTTAAAAGTTAGATAACTCAAAGCAATTCAATTGTCTAGTAAAAGTAGATATCAATTTTTTTTTAAATTATAAAGCAACAAAATTGGTTTATCTTTTCTTGACCAAAGAGTGAAAATTTCTCATTTTACGAGGTGTTTAAACAATTTTAGCACTTGGTTCATCGAGAAAAAAAGGATAGAAAAAGTGCAAAAGTTCAATAAAATGGAAAAACTCACTCGTCAAATCAGGCAGTGAATTCGGGAATTTCTTCATTTTTTGAATGAGAGATTGTTGTGAAAAATTTGATTGAAATTTAGGGTTAAAGGTGATCTGTTGTCATAATTTGTACAGTAGTTGTTGGGTGATCTCTTAGCACAAAAAAAAGAGAGGAATTGATAAGATTAGAAAGGAGAAAGGTCGCATCGGAATTCAATACTCAACTAGAGAATAGTCTGACGGCATTTTGAAAGTGATTTTCGGGAAATCGTTTGGTTTTTTTGAAAAAGATTATGCAAATTTTTAAAGTGATAGATCTCAAGGTGAAAATGTCAATGATTTTCTTGAAAAGAGTTTCTTGCATTCATCCAAAAAAGGTTAGAGAAAAAAAGAGATTAAAAGGGAGTATTATTGAAAAATTTGTCATTTACATTACAATTTTATAACCCAGATGACCGACTTTTTGTGAACTCTTATCCTTATAGCCCTGGCGGCAGCTTAGCACTTGTCTGCTTAGCTCATTGGTAGAGCGTTCGCCTGCCAAGAGATGCTTTGAGCCACAGGTGCCAAGAGATGCTTTGGCCACAGGTGCCAAGACATGCTTTGAGCCACAGGTGCCAAGACATGCTTTGAGCCACAGGTGCCAAGACATGCTTTGAGCCACAGGTGCCAAGACATGCTTTGAGCCACAGGTGCCAAGAGATGCTTTGAGCCACAAGAGATGCTTTGAGCCACAGGTTCAAATCCCGTTGACGACCTTGCTCTTTGAATTTTTTTGTTGCCGTTGCTTGCCAGCGTTGCCAGCAAGGACCGGCTGGATCCTTGTTCATCTGGTGTGCTCAAAACTAAACGCACTCTATCTAGCGCACTTTCTTCATTCTTCATTCTTCATTCTTCATTCTCCATTCTTCATCTTATCGCATCATAAATTCTAGGTGAAAAATCAAAGATTTGCATTACATGGCCAGAAGGGGGATTGACTATTTTGAGGACTTTACTGTATACGTAATAACTTTTATACATAGAATAACAGTAACAAAGCTTATACTGGATCTAGAAGTATAAATTCTCCAAGAGCAGACAGTTCTTAAAGCAAATACAAAAGCAAAACTGAAATGCAAATAGTGCATCACACAAACGAATACATTTAGAGTAATCTGTTATAAAAATCGCATAAAAATGATCATGAAGTACGAGTTCAGGTAACTCGTTTTCTATTCCAAATTGAAATCTTCTATAAAAGCAAACCTGAGTTAATACCAGTTCAAAAACAAGACCAAAAGTATTTTACAGGAAAATGGGTGGTGCTAGAGGAAGGGGAATCAAAGGGAAATGGAGGAGATGGGTCTTATCGAAGGTCAGAATCTTGTCTCTCTTTCTTTTTTTCTTCTTTTCTTATTCAATGATCCTTTCAATCTCTTTCTCTTCTTTCTCTTCTTTCTCTTCTTTCTCTTCTTTGAGAGTTTGAGAGAAATCGTTGTGGACACGATGTGATGATTATCGCCTTTTCTCATCTTTTTTTCTTCTTTATTCCCATTTTCCTCACTTAAAATATGAGAATCCCAAGTGGAACAAAGCCCAAAAACATATTTTTGATTGAACTCTTCCAACGTGATCATTTTGGGAGAAGAGCTGTGAAGATCATTTTGGGAGAAGAGCATTCACTCTAATATTTTTAAAGAAAAAACTATCAAGACTTTTATTAAGAAAGAGACTTTGATTTAATTTAAGATTCAAGTTTTAGTTTTTTAATTAGATTTTAATTTAATTTAATTTAATTTAATTTAAATTTAATTAGATTAGATCTAAGAGATTCAAGTTTTAAATTTAATAGTTGAATAGTTGAATGTAAAGCCTTAATGTTTGAATTTTGATTTTAAAATATCAAAGTTCTTTCTGTCGAACCCAGCAAGAATTCTGGTGCACTTTTTCTGCTCAAATTTGATAAACCCATCCCTTCTAGTGCATTCGTTCTTCCTAATAAAGCTTTCTCTGCATAGAAATGAAGAATTTAGTGAGCCAGAAAGGGTTTATTTCCATTTTAAGTACAAAATCCAGCTTAAACATCTCTAAGTCAAATCAGGCACTGAGTAACAAAGCTTATACTGGATCTAAAAGTGGCGGAAAGTTGATGGGTTGGGTATTGGGTTGATGAAAAAGTCCTTTCCGATTTTGATTCGGATTCGGTCCGATTCGCGCGAAAAGCGGCGGAAAGGCTATTGATCTGAGGGTCGCTGGTTCGACTTCCACCGGTGACAATATTTTTCAAAAATTTTTTGCTAAGATTCTGAAAATTTGTGTCTAAGGGTTATTTTTGACGCTGATCATGAAACACATGTTTTTAGCCTAGGTTTCTGCACGGAAAACTAACGAAACGTGAAAACAACCATTTTTTGGCTCTGCCGCCCTTTACTAAAATAGCTGTAAAGACTTTTAGAAAAGAGATATCTCAAAACGGTTTTTACCAATTGATCCGTCTTAAATTCAGCTTTAGGATGAGCTATAAAACATCAAAATTGGACAAATTTAAGGTACTCTCCCAAAAAATCCGAAAGGACTTTTCCACCAACCCAATAGAAGTATAAAGGTTTCAAGAAAAGACAGTTCTTAAAGCAAATACAAAAGCAAAACCGAAATGCAAATATAAAAGCAAAATTTAAATCCAAATATAAAGTGCTCAGCCAATCTAAGCTCAGCCAATCTAAGCTCAGCCAATCTAAGCTCAGCCAATCTAAGCTCACCCAATCTAAGCTCACCCAATCTAAGCTCACCCAATCTAAGCTCACCCAATCTAAGCTCACCCAATCTAAGCTCACCCAATCTAAGCTCACCCAATTAAGCTCACCAATCCAAATACCAAATGAACGTCTTTTGCTTTTCGTTTAAGCTTTGAATAGATTCCAGAAAGTAGTTTGAGTCGCATATTGTAATATTTAGATCAAGTAGTAAAAATTTTGATTGTTTATATATTCCACTGACTAATGAGACGAAAAATTGAGTTGTTCGGGGGTGAAATAAACCAAAAAAACAAAAAAATGGGGTAAATTGGCAGGTGAAGAGAAAATTTTCGAAGAATTCTCGAGAGAATTGATGGAAAAACAAAAGAAATTCTAGACTATCATGATTTAAGGGGAAAATATTATTGCTTTTGAAATCTCAGAGATGAACACTGATCTTTCCGGCAAGATCTACTACTATTCAATAAACGGATTGAACTAGGAAAGATTTGAGAGTTCGGATGGTTGACACAAGGTTTGTCCGGTTGCTCTAGAACTTTAGAGACTTTAGCGCTAGCTCTATGATCTTTGTAGATGGTGTTTTCTATTGCTTTTCTATTGATTTTCTATTGTTTTTCTATAGCTTTTCTATTGCTTTTCTATCGATTTTCTATTGCTTTTCTATTGCTTTTCTATTGCTAAATTAGTCACTTGTAAAGTAGCTAATGAATCAACTATTATAAACATTTTAATAGAAGAATCAGCTTTTCTATTTTTAAATGTCTCTCTAAAAATTCTTTTCAACCCTAACAGAACACCAAAATTTTCAAGAGCTCAAAAATTGTGGTTTTTGTTGGATTTTCATTTGGTTTTTGACGTCATTAAGCTTTTTTTTTAGGTTATAATTATTATTTTAAAACTTTAAAACTTTAAAAGTCTTTTAAAAGTTGAACATATTGCTATTCGAGAGTTGACAGAGCCGGAAAAATGAAAAATTTCGTTTAATGGAGATTCTATTGGAATAAATATGGTATTTGAGTTAATAGAACGAACTAACTAGTACGGTACGGTAGCCAGGTCGTACTTAAAGCCCGAACCTGAGTTCGGAGAAGTTTGCAAGTCAATGAAAACAAATATAAGACAAAAAGAAACTGGCTAAAATTGTAAACAGTTGTATAGTTTGCGATCAACACTGCAATGCACACCTTCTGGCGCAAAAAAAGCTACCGTAAAGTGAAATTGAAAAGTTTGAATAACTCAAAAACTCTTTAAACCAATCCCTTTCCTGAAAAACTTTCAATTTATCAACTTTCCTCTCTGAGAAATAATCCAATCATAATATTTTCTTTGTCTTTGCAAAACAAGAACGGAGTTTTGAGAGAAAAATGAAAGAAAAGCCTAGGGTTTGTTTCACTCAAAAAAAAATTGATAAGGCTTTCATAAAGAGCTGAAAATTAATTGTTTTCTAATCAAAATTTAATGTTTTCCTTTGCTTTGATCTGAATCACGTTTTGGATAAAAGATTGAGAAGAGATTGAGAAGAGATTGAGAAAAGTTTGAGAAAAGATTGAGAAAAGATTGAAAATCTCTAACTGAAGCAGTGATTTTTGATTGTAAAAACAAATAATAAACGAAGAAATAATAAAAGCAACAAATAATAAAAGAAACAAATAATAAATTTAATTTCCATTTATTGCTAATTTTCAATGTATCTTGAATTTGAAAACTTGTAAATTGAACTCACCAAAGGAGTAATTTTTCCGCAAAATGTCGAGTAAATGAAAGTCGAACTTGCGGGGGAACTGAAAAAAAAAGAATTAGACAATGGGAAAGTCTCGGAATCTGGAAAAGGGGGGTGGAACAAATGCAACCTTTTTTTTGCTGGAAAAGGCCGTAGAGCTTCAAAAATGTTTTCATAGAAGGGAATCGTATGCGTAGATTCCGAATTTCGACAAATCAGACCTCGCTGACACGTCAAATTTGGGCTAAAAGGCAAAAACTACGCAACTTAACGCTTTTCCGCAGTTTTTGCCTTTTAGCCCAAATTTGACGTGTCAGCGAGGTCTGATTTGTCGAAATTCGAAATCTACGCATACGATTCCCTTATATGGAAATATTTTCGAAGCTCTACGGCCTTGTCTAAGGCCTTTTCCAACAAAAAAAAGGTGCGCAAATGTCCAGGTGCGCAAAAAAGGCCGCATTTGTCCCACCCCTGGAAAAGAAATATTATAGATATTAGATAAATGAAATAAATCAAGAAGCTAAAACTCACAAAATTCCATTCTTTGTGCGCTTTTTTGGATAAACCTTCTGATGGGATGTCGATCTGATGAAGGCAACTGTCACTGCCGCTCATTCTAGAATAAAGGATCAATGGGTTTCTGTTGGTTAAACAAATTAATTGGTTAATAATGAACACTTTAGTCATTAATTGGTTAATAATGAACACAAAACTTTAGTCAAAGAACCGATTTAGAGATTTGTAGACGGATGACTGAATATCTTGAGTTTTCTCTTGTTGGCTAATAATTTATTATAAATATTTATAGTAATTCTTTTGTCGTTTTGTCTGGTTTATTCTTTATATGGAAATTTTTAACCAATTACCGTATTTTCTGTAATAGTAGTGCGCACTACTATTTTTTCAATCCCCCCCAGCCTGCACTACTATTACAGAAAATACGGTAATTTGTCTACGCGCGAATATTTATTTTCATTCGTTGATTTTTCTTCATGATTTTGTATCGTTCATTTGATCATCTCTTCTAATTTATTAATAGTATTGGAACCGTATTAGATCAAAATAGGAGCCGTATTGGAACCGTATTGGAACCTAGAAACTTAGAAAAAACTTAGACTTAGAACTTAGAAAAAATAGAAATCAATTGTTTATCTTCAGGAGATGGATTTTCAAGTCTGGCAATAATATTGGTTTTAGCTACAAGAAGAAAAGCTGTACTTCAAGAAAAGCTTGTGCTTCAACTCATAAATCTTTATGATTTATATATATATATATATGTCGTAGCCGTTTACGAAATTCAGCCGCTAACGAATGATTCGTTAACGTCTAGCCGATTACGAATGATTCGTTAGTGGCTAGCTGATTACGAATGATTCGTTAACGGCTAGCCGATTACGAATGATTCGTTAGTGGCTAGCTGATTACGAATGATTCGTTAGTGACTAGCCGATTACGAATGATTCGTTAGTGGCTAGCCGATTACAAATAATTCGTTAGCGGCTAGCCGATCAATTCGTAATCGGTTAAGTTAGCGGCTGAATTTCGCAAACGGCTACGACATATATAAATATTAGCTTGGTAAATATGAAAGGTTATTTTTTACAAAAAATATTGCCCTGTCGTTACGAAGAACATTCGCTGTCTAGGACTTTTCTCAATAATATGTCAAAATGTGCTCATGTTTTTTTTGCAAAAACTTTTTTGTTTTGAATAATATTTGTATTGTTTCAGCTCGGCAAAGATGGATGACCAAAAATTTAAAATCAGGGCCGGCATTTTCTTGAATCAAGTAAACAAGAAAGCACGGAATGCCACAGAACATTTGTACTATTTTTGGAGAAGGCCCCCTACCTACAAACAAGTTGTGTTTGGTACGATGGCTTCAAAGGAAAGAGTCATTGGAAGATGCACCAATGGAAAGCGCGCCGATTACTTGGACCATCAGCTGTTACCAACGAGCTAGCCTTGGTCCATCGAAAATTAGCAGAAAAGTTCGGATGCACTCATGTTACCATTTACACGTTCTTGGGAAATCATATCGAAGCGGGAAATGGCTCCCCCACGACCTCACTGATGCCCACAAAGTCACACGAGCCACCTTGAGCTCTGTTCTTCTACGTAAAGCTAGCCATCGTGACTTTTGGAAGTATTTTCTGACATCTGATGAGACTTGGCTTTCGTATGAAAATATTCAACTCTATGGACAGTGGCTGAGTTCAAAGCAGACCTCTCATCCTATCCCGAAGCCTCCGAAAAAGTTATGCTTTGTGTGTGGTGGAATCCTAAGGGATTGGCTCATTTTGAAATATTAGATAAAGGAGACACTGTTGACGGAAGACTTTATGCAGAACAAATGGGTCGAGTCGATCCAGCATTGAGGAAAAAGAGGATCGATCCATCGAAGGTCAAATTTCTTCACGACAATGCTAGGCCTCACATTTCAAAGATCGTCCAAGAACAAATCGATACATTGAGCTGGAAACTTCTTCCACACCCACCATACAGCCATGATCTAGCCCCATCGGATTACTATCTCTTTCGGTCAATGAAACAAGCAGTTTCTGGACAGCAGTTCAAACAAAAGTAGGACATCGAAAATTGGGTTGGCAACTATTTTGCCTCTAAAAATCTTCATTTTTACGAGGACGGTATTCGTGATTTGGGGCAACGTTGGAAAGAAGTTATTAATGCTTGTGGTGAATACATTTTATTTTGAAAGTGTTTAAATAAATTTTTCTGTTATGTTAAAAATGATCAAAAAAATAACCTTTCATATTTACCAAGCTAATAAATATATATATATATTATATAATTACTTTATTCAAGAGGAACTCGAAAAAGTGTAGACATACAAAAGAAAAAAGAAAGTATTAAAATTATAAAAATTATAAATTTTTTTAAAAAAGAAAAAGATACGATAGAATACGATAAGGTACAAGAATAACGCACTTAAAAAAAGAGATACTAAATCAATTTAATTTACAGCTTTCTTAAAACAAGGGAATGATGCCAAGATTTCGGAGTTTAAAGGCAAAGCATTCCACAATTTCGAAACACGATTTGAGTAAAAAATACATGGCAGTGTTGGATCTTGATAATTTCAAAGAAAGCCCATTTCTGCCTCGCCCATTTTTGCCTCGCCCATTTCTGCCAATTATAAATAAAAAAATACGTTCAAATGGTAACGCAAAGATGAAGTTGAGGTGTACGAAAAACTGGCACCTGCACTATTTCCATTCTATTTCCAAAGCTATTTCCATTCTCCGTAAATTTTATTCATAAACTGCCACACTAGAGATGAAAGTTGTAGTTGAGATGACGTAAATTTCTTAAAATAAAATTGGCTATCTGGAAAAGTCTACCTACATTGATAATATCTACATTCTTTTGCGAAATATTATCGAGTTCTTTTAGTTTAAATCGTTTAATCTAAAAGAGAATGTTTTAGGTGAAAAACTCGAAGAAAAAAAGGAAAAAGAAAGGGAGAAATTGAAAGCATTTATCCAGATTAATCAGATATTATGCAATTAATTATTTTTTTCATCAAATTATGCAATTTCAACCAAGAAGAGCTCACACTAGTGAATAGGTCAAAAGATCTAAAGGTAAATGCAAACTATACATCGTAGAGTAATGCATTATCTTCGTTTATCAGTGTTTTTCGTTTTTTCTTTAAAGTTTTAGGCTCAAAGTACTCAAAATCGCTTCTTTATGCTCAAAACTGAAACAAAAAGAAACTCACTTTCTCGTAGCCACCAAGCCAGGACCGGGTACAGTCAAAAAATCAGGCATTTTTTCAGAAAATTATCGATGAATTGAATAATATAATCGTTTCCTTTAGGAAATCCCAATTGTAGACACTATTTATTTTGTGTGACGGTTCTTAAGAAAGAAGGGGACAACAAAGATTCGATGAGAAGATAATACCAAAAAGAGAACCTGTTTATTTTCGATGTATCCTTGAAAAGTTTCGACACTTTTTTGAAAGATGGGAATACAATAACAACAAGACAAAACAAAAAAAAGGAGTGCATTGAGTCATGAGTCATTCGGGTGAGATTTTGAAGATGAGATTCTTCAAGCAATGACGGGAGATCTTTGATCGGGGAAATTCTGGAGTTTCAATTTGAACGGGGTGATGTAGTTTCGATTTGAAGAGAATTTTGATCCCATTCAATTCACAGTTTGAAAGAGTTTCTATTTTGTGAACTTGAGGCTCAGAAGTTTAACTTCTGAAAATAGAACTGAGCAATGAGAAGCTTCAAAATTTACTTCTAAATTAGCTTCTAAATTTTCCTTTATCTTTTAACTTTTGGATAAGTTGTCCATAAGCTAAATTACCATGATGTGCTTGATTTTGTGCTTGGCTTGGTTAAAAGTACAGCTTTTTTTTTGAGGGTTTTATGGCTCCCAAATCTTAACTGCAAATTTCGTCACACCGCTGTCTCTTTTTCGCCTATTCTAGTCTGTAGTTTGCCCCAAAATACACATCGTGTCTTTATTTTTTTGGTTAAAGTAAAAGTTTAATTGCTTTAACGTTGTACTTTTTAAAGTTTTTAAATGTTTCAATCAATTTTACACTTTTAGATTTATGGTGTGGTAAAACTGCGAAAAAAAATCGACGCAAATTGGTCAAAAAAATGTCAATCGACTACGGATATCTTGTTCAGGTAAAATTTTTATGAATTCTTCAGTTGAAAGTTGGATTTTGTTGCTAGTATTGCTAAATTGTAGATGAATTTTCTTTTTTAAAACATCGATACATCTTTGTCTTTTAGATAGCCTGCACGGCGACGTTACTTTTTGTGATCTTCTCGGCGGCGCTCTCGCAAAACCCGATTTTTATCAATGGTCTCCTGGTTGTGGTTTGTTTTCAAGTCTAGATTTTATCTAAATTACATTGTAGATTAAAACTATTACACGATTTGGGTTTATAAATTTAAAAGCTAATTGCAAGCTTTAAATGGCCACCATCGGCCTTTTTTATGACTCGAAAAGAGAGTAAAACGTGGTAATAAGCTTTAAAACCTACTGCATATTAATTTTATCATTTGCTAAACATCTCTCAACTTTAGATAAATTTTTTAACAATCTAAACTTGTTTTAGGTGGTGGCGGGAGCGATGATTGTTTATATTCTGACGTTGCAAATAGCCGTAACAGAACTGCCGGTGTATTTCTTCGAAATCGTCTTTGAACCTAGCATGAATAGGTATCCTTTTCAAGTAAAGTTTGTTACATAAAATTCTTTAGGTATTGCCTACTTTCTTTCTGGATAATGTGCGTGCTGGCGTCGATCGCTTTTGGAATTGTCATCTCGCTTCAAGGACACTCGAGCACTGTTCATCGGTTGGTAGCTTGATAAATTGCAGAATATTTAAGATTTTGAACTTTTTCATTAAGCTTAAAGGCAAATTTTGGTACGATTAGGTGTTTTTTTATCATGTTAAGCATTGTTTCTTTTAGAAAGTTCTTCCACTTGACCGTGTCACTCATCTATCTTTCTGGAATCTTCCTGGATCCAAAGTTTACCCATTTATGCGGATGGTTATGGGTGTGCATCTTCGTTTGTTTTGAGGTAATTTAAAAAAACTTCCTTTTATAAAATAAATTTAAAGGTGCTTCGTTTTCACTCAGTTCCGCCATGGGGTGACCATTTGAACAACTTTTTTTTGGTATTCAAGGACGGTCAAGATAATGTAAGTTACCTTTTTAATCCATTTTGTGGAAATTTTATATTTAGAGTGTACTTTTAACGCCGATCTTTTTGCTGATTGGTGTATTTCTGCCGTTGTTCTTGTCACCGATTGAAGAAACGCATCAACCACATCTTTATCATCTGGCTGGTGTTGCGTCAGTTGGAGTGAGTTTATATTTTGTACTAATGCAAGATTATTATGAAGATTTTAACAAATTACATTAATTTTTACCGGTACTTAGTTAAGATTAATTTATAAACTTTAGATTGGTGACGCGTTTGCTGCCGTCATTGGCTACAATTATGGTTCAATGAAATGGCCTGGGTACGTTTTCATCATCTTTTTTTGCGATAAGCTAAATTTAGGCGAGATAAAACGATTGAAGGTACAATAGCGATGGCTGTGAGCGTTTTCGTGACACTTTTCTTGAGCAGAAGTTACTGTGAACCACCGGTAAGATTTTGGCATTATATTTTTTTGATAGGAATGGTAGTTATAGCTTGTTTCAACTTTGTTTGAAACATGATTTAAATGAAATGATAGTAATATTCCTATTTTTAGATAGCTTCAACGGCGTGGCTTCTGATCAGCGCTGCCATCTTGTCTGCAATAGAAGCTTTCGTGAAAAATGTCGACAACTTATTACTTCCAGTCGTCGGCTATTTTCTTTTATGACTAAATTGCTTTAATTGTTGGTTTAAGTGATTTTGCGTTTTTCTGCCCAAGGCGTGCAATAATCTAAATTTCTTTTCTAGTTGTTATTGATGATCCATTACAGGTACAGCTCTGAGTGTGATAGTTTACTTGGTTTGCCTTCGTTGCACTTTTAATATTGGTATTTTATCACTTTGTAAATAAAATTTTAGTAAAGAGAAAACTTTTTTGTGCACTTAGTGACTTTAGATGGTTAAAAAATTGCCATGGGTCATGCGTATAGCCAATTTTTTGCAAAACGGCAGTTAAATTGATGAATTCATGCAAACTCTGCTTGGTATACACATGGCTTTAGTGGAACTGGCATTGACCAAAGATAATCGTCATTAGTACGGCTCATCGGTGGGCCATATTGTCGTGAATGTGTTAAAATGTGTTAGAAACTACCGTAATCTTGGCTATAGTTTTTATCCAATCTATTTATATCTATCCTTTGTGAATTCTCAAATAATCCTTTTTTCCAATAAACTTTTGGGTTTGGACTTATGCTTACAGTAAATGCAAAACATGTTATAGTTCGAAAATAGAAAAAGAAAACGCAAACTTTCAATAGATTTTAGAATGATCACTGAGCTTAAACATTTTAAAGAAGCAGACGGGAGAAAAGTTGCTTTTTTGCTCACTGAACATTTTCCCACGATTGAAATTTTTGATTTTTGGGGAAATCCCTTTTGGAAAGCATTTTGGCAAAATTTTCTGAAATAATCTGCTGCTAATTTTGGGTTGTTGCGGGAAAATGTTTCAGTTTTTGATTTTCAGTCATTTTAAGGCATTTGCAAGGGAATTTTTGTGGATTCGGCGTCTCATTCGTAAACTTTGCTAGCTGGTGCATTGAGTTTTTTAATTTCGAAGATAAATACAAGATTTTCGTGCACCAGATAGCGAAAGTTTACGTAGAAGTCTCCCGCTTGTTGATCATCCGGGTCGACGCAGATCAATCAAAGGCCAATTTTTTTTTAAACGCCTACTGGACTTGTTTTCTTTTTCAAAATCTTTGACTCAAATTTTCTCTAGGGACCAATTTACTTAAATACACTCAACTCTCAATTAGCTTTAGACATAGAAATCATAGAAACAAACATAGAAATCTAAACAAAATCTAAACCAAATCTAAACAAAATCTAAACAAAATTTTGATTCAAATGGAAATTGTAGTGATTGAAATTTGTTTTCTATGTGAACCTTGGGTAATTAAACCGGTTGAACGGTTCTCTCGGTGACTTCACCCAAAGCACCGTGCCAGAGGCCGCTTTTTCCTATGAGCGACATGAAAAGAACGCACATTGAAGTCATTAGTTGCGTAAACCCATTGAAGTAGTGTGCCAGAAAGGGTGTGTTTAGTATTGAGCTTAAAGTACTCCAAAAGAGATCCCTCAAAATGACAGTTTGAACTCATTTTTGTGACTTTAAACCAAAGATATGGGCTTTTTTTTCGTCGAATCAAAATTCTAATGCCTCAATTAGATATTATGATTTGATTTTCTTATTCTTGATCTCACTTAAACCATTTCACAGCCACCATTCCCCCTTTCGTTGATCAATTTCATGTCCTTTGGCGGTTTTTGCGTTAAAAAGACGGCCGCTTATGAAGACCCATTTTTCAGCGCTTCTTTCCTCCGAAAGAAGCTTTTCAGAAAGGAAATGAGCGAGTCTTTTCTTCCATTTTCTCAGCCTCACCCCCTTCGATCATTTTCCCTTTTTTCTTCCCCCATAAAAATGGCACCAAAAAGTTCACTTGACTCTCGCAGATTTGTCTCTCGTTTTGGGTGATGGGAATTCACCTGGATCATCTGAATTCAATTTTTTTCAGTTCTTTTTTAGACCTGAAAATTTGGCTATAGAACTCTAGGCTATAGAATCACAAAAAATGTCTCAAATTCTCGCATTCTTCAATATTTCGATCTTTCATCTGAATTGACATAAAGTTTTATGATTTCCTTAGTGTTTTTGGAGAAAGCCTTTCACTTAAACAAATTATTCCCATTGACCAAACATTTTATTTAAGCTCATTTTTGGCTTTTGGCTTTTTGCTTTTGGCTTAGTTTTTAGTGGCTGGCTGGGTTTTTTTAATGTTAAAAAAAGCCAAGTGTTCTTTGATGGAAAGTCGAAAAGTTATAAAGTTGTTGCGATTGGATAGCTTGCTCGTAGTCACAAATATTGTTAAAGTACTAGTTTTAAAGATGAATTAAGACCCAAATTAGTACTTTGGTGTGTACTTTGTGCCCACAAATGGAAACATAACCCTTCTAGTGCACTAAATTCCTCAATAAGCTATGTAAAAGAAGGCTAAATCTTCACTATATGCTGGCAATAAGTTCTAGGAGAAGTTATCGATGTTGAACTTTTAAATCGAAAATTATTTTGTGTAGCGTACTTTGTACTCTCTGTAGCGTACTTTGTACTCTCTGTAGCGTACTTTGTACTCTCTGTAGCGTACAAACACACCCTTCCTGGGGCACTCAATTCTTCATTGATCACGTAGATCAATCCATGACAATTATAGAGTTGAGTTTCCATAACTCGCATTTTTTCAAGCACAAAGTACACTCTTGTCTAGTAGCTCTCTAGCAAATTCTACGTTTCCCAATGTTTTTCCAAAACGTTGAGAATTCCCGTCCGGAAGTCAATCCTCTAAAGAAATGTGTGAAATCTAAGGAGTCTTGGATGATTCCCACCGTTTGAGAGCTGTTTTCCTGGTCTCTTTTTACTCCTCAGTTGACCATGTTGAGTCTTTCTCCCATTTCATCAAAATCTTTCCATTTCCACACGCAACCTTTCCTTTCTTTTCCTTTTTTTTCCTTTCTTTTTCTTTTTTTTCTTCTTTTCTTCTTCTTTTCTAATCACATATGTTAGAGCTTCTTGAAGAGTTCTCCCGGATTTGCAAGTCTGACTTTGGGGTCTTAAAATTTGCGGAACTGATTTCGTTTTTCGGAATTTTGCTTAACTTTTGGAATTGTTTTAAAGTATTTGACTTTAACTTTTCTTGTTAAAGCTTGAATTCATTTTATCGACTTTAAAGTTCTTTGTTTTCTTTAGGATTACAAATCTGAGTTGAGCTGTACTTTGTAGCTTTCTGGCTAACTGTTAAACGCTACCTTTCTGGCCAACTGTGTTAAACGCTACCTTTCTGGCTAACTGCTAAACGCTAGTTTTCTGCTAACTGCTAAACGCTAGCTTTCTGGCTAACTGCTAAACGCTACCTTTCTGGCCAACTGTTAAACGCTAGCTTTCTGGCTAACTTCTTTACTTGCTAAGTCTTTTGAATAGACGTAACTTGCATACTGTATAAAGAGATTGAGTTACATTGAGTTATTAATCAGATTTTAAGCTCAAAATGCTTCTTTAATCCATTCAAACGGTTGATAAGTGGCTATAGATCTATTGCTAAATTATAGCATTTGGATCTAATAGATTCTTAGAATACTAAGCTTTCTGTTGGACGTAGGTCTTCCGAAATTCTTCTTCAATTTCCCTCAATTTCCCTCAATTCATCTCACATCTCAAATTGTGGGTGATCATGCGATTTCTCCCTTCAGCCCCACCCCCACTTGAATGCAATTGAAAAAAAGGTGTTCAAGGAAAAAAAAAATGGGAATGCGAAGTAATCATTTTCTTCTTTTCTCAATGGATTTTGAGTTTGATGAGACATTTTTTCTAAGCTTTTTATCCGAAACTTTCAAGTGAATTGCTAGTTTTTACTTAAAAACAAGTCCAAACAAGTCCAAACAACCTAAAAAAAAAAAACGTTTAGATTAATTAAATTTGTGTTTGAATAAAACCGATCTTTGGATTTTTGAGTTTAGGCTTGAATCAGCATCTTTGCTTAGGAGTTAGGACAACTTTGCTTTGGATGAAACCATCAATTGAACTCTTACTAGTTTGATGTATCATATATCATAACCAATCTGCTTTTTATCGATATTTCTCGTTGAATGCCTCATTCAACTCTATTATATTCTTTACCCAAAAGCTTTTTTTTCCCAACATGAAGTGGTCTCAAAAATTTCCGGTAGATTCTCTATTCCTTTTCCCCTTAAACGCTCAAATTTCATAGGTGGTTTTGTTTTACAAAACGATTATCGCTTTGTTGAAAGCTTCAATTCTCTTCAAGATCAATTCTCTTTGTTTTTAAGGAAGTTTTCTTCAAAGAAAATGATTGGTCAAGTGGTTCCTTGTCTTCAAACATCTTTCAGCTTCACTTTGGAAAGCTTTTAAGAGAGAAATTCTTCTATTTAACAACCCAAATTCTTTCTTTCAAATTAGAGAGAAGGGTAAAGGGTCAAAAGTGTTTTTTTTTTGTTATTTCTCTGAATTTCATCGATTCTTTATTCAAAGAAAACCCTACCTATATCTGTGAATGAAAATAAAGTACCGTATTTCTTCGAATAGAAAACCGGGTAAAGAGTATCATCGCGTACTCCTGCGTAGCAGCCCTTTTTAAAATTTCTTTTCTGCATAAAAGCTTTCAATGAAGTGCTATGGGGCTGGAAAATGACTCAAAAATACGACATGAGCTAACAGATTTTTGAGCCATTTTCCAGTTCTATAGCACTTCATTGAAAGCTTTTATGCAGAAAAGAAATTTTAAAAAGGGCTGCTACGTAGGAGTACGCGATCATACTCTTTACCCGGTCTTCTATTCGAAGAAATACGGTAAACTTATTGTTAACTTGTACAGCTTGTGCTCGAGAAATTTTACCGGCTTTTGAGTTTAGATTTTGATTATTAAGCAGTTAAAATTTAGTTTAAAAAATGCTTCTAAAATTAGATTTGTTCTTTTGCATGCCTAAAAATGGATAAACGTACACTATCTGGCACACTAGCTGGCACACTTTCTGGCGCACTTCCTAGCACACTTCCTAGCGCACTTTCTGGCACACTTCCTAGCACACTATCTTGCACACTTCCTAGCGCACTTTCTGGCACACTTCCTAGCACACGATCTTGCACACTTCCTG